GTGCTATTTCATCTCCTTTCTCCCTGTAGCCATTGGTCCCCCCACCCACCCCCTCTCAAAGATCAAGGGACTATTGTGGAAATGATTCCATGCCTTCTTTTCCACCTCAAACCATCCATTACTGCACCAGACTTCTTTGAAACCCCCGTCAGAGACATGAACAGGAAGCCCTTCACCTAGATGTTTCCAAATGACTCACTCCTCGTGGTGCTACAATTAACGGATATGAAAGGGGGACAATGTATCATTTTTTATGTCAATTTCAAAAAGGACGTCTAGATTTACATTTTTATAAGGAATGTATCACAACATTATTGCATAATAATGTTTACCGGTAAGCAACCTATCTCTGGGTTGGTGTCATTCATCAATAAGTGGCAGCTGCTTGTTAGTTGGAAATGAAACCCTGCACCTTGAAGCAATGGCTCCTTTCCCGCACAATTCTCACTTGCAAGAGGCACAGAACACTAACATTTAAGAAATGAGCGACGCAGGAGTTGTTGCGGAAATTGTAAACTATTGCCAGTTAGCAGTTAGCGCCTATGTGTTCCCTACTCGTTCCTTGGTAATGACTCTACGTACCTTTTTGGTTGTAAAATGACACCAACAAAAGTTCTTTGTCAGCGGAAGGGAGCGCCGGTCGCTGGGTGTGAGGCGAGGAGGATTATGGGATCGTATCCCTTCAAAGAGTCAGCCTCCAGTCAGGGGAAGAAAACAGCCCCTTTGATTTCTTACGGGGAGCGATGTATTCATGAGTTGGACCTTGAAACTACAAGGAGACTAGTGTAGTGTGCCATATGCAAAACATGTGTTTTAATAGGGCATGATAACGTGGTACATTTAAAGAGACTTACCCCTTAAGATGCTGTAATTAAAAAGCGAGCGGTGGCTGAGTGAATAAGGGACTCTCTCTCTCACACAGTGTATATCGGGGGTTGTTTTTTTAAAGACATTCAACTGGAGGCGGCCTCTCGTCTTTTGAGACATCTGAAGATTTTTTTTTAAACCAGCGAGTCCGTCTCAAAATCCCCAAAGACATTCGGGAGGAGAAGATGTAACCTACATGTACTATCCATGAATCTTCTTGCTGCTTTGGTGGCATTTGAGGCGTATACAGTCGGGATATGCTTGACATTAGATAGCCAATTGGGGTCACACAGGACTGCCGTGATGGGGAGGAGACACTGCCTTTTAAGCAGCTCGCTGAGCTGTGAATATTTCACTGTTTTGTCTCATCAGTACCATGCTCCTCTCAGCATGTCCCAGCTGAAAACTTGCCTCATGTCAGCAGTAACAATGGACGAATTCTATTCACATTCGCCGGGTGGGATTTTGCTAGTGAGATGCATAAAGCGCCATATGTTAGGGAATTGTTATGGACGTCGTAGCCCAAGCAGTTCTCTCTCTCCCCGGCACTTAATCCCGTCCCTTGACCTTGACATAACTGTATTTGGCCAAAGATAAGCAGACCTTTTACATAGTGGCAGGGAGATGAATGTGACCTGGGCCATCTGCAGTGGGGGCTGTGCACGTTACTCAAATGTGACTTGAAGGTTTGAACTATTTACCGTCTTTGCCGCAAAAAGCTATGCAGCATGTGTTCACATAAAGCAGAACAGGAAAAGCAGCGTTGATGCACACAATAGGACATTGGCGGGAGTAATGAAACAGCGATACTTAGTATTTTTCCCCTATGGTTTATCCCCCCCCCCCCATCCCGTCCCTCTCTGTTCTCTGATACGCTGTGTTTGAGTACCAGAGGTCACAAGCTTTGGAAATAGCAAAGGCCCCGACCAGGCCAATGTGCTGAGTGAAGGGATACAGAGCTTGACTTTGGGCAGTGTGAAAGATCCAGGCCTGCCTTGTTTGTCTGACTGTCCGTCTCACTGGACACACTATAACGAGATTGCAGGGCTCTGTAAGGCGGATTTACTGGAGCACAACTCCCCCTAGGGCTTTTTCATAGAAATGTGTTCCTCTATATTTCACCACAGCCTCTCACTCCCTCCCTTTTGTCAAATGTGTTTGTACTTCTCTCTGACGAGTCCCTCCCTTTCTCTCTGCCTCTCTCCAAACCTCTGGCCTCCTCTCGCTTTTGGTTAATTGTGACATGCTTTTTTCCTTTCTTTCTTCGGATAAAGATTGAACTGAAAAGAAAGCGTGAGCTATCACATCTCAAGTTCCCTCCACATTTATCTCTGCTTCAACATGGCCGTTGTAGGTGGCCTTTCCCACGTCTTCATGGAATCTCACTGAGACATGTGAATGCATGAGCAGCACCCTGAGGTTTTCTTCTCAGTTTACGCTAATAAGTCTCACATGTTATATTCTTTCTAGGTCACCTCCCTGTAAATTTAAAACCGAGGTCGTAAACCAAAACTTAACTGACCAAACCGGTTTTTCTTCTGTGTGAGTATAGCTGCAAAAGCAATCTATTCTGTTTAGTCTCATAGTTAATGTTGACACAAACGATGGGGTCTCGCAGTCCAATCGTTCCAGCTGTGCAAACGGCGAATGAGGCCAATCCAAATGCAAAAGCACATCACGGAGCGAGCTTATTTTGGGACCACTGTGTCATCCAATACCACAGCACAGCCCCTCTGCAAGAACTTTAATGAGTGGGAAAGTGGGGAGCAGGTGTCTACGCCACTCAATGCAAATGTTGATTTGTTTTCCGATTCTCGGTGGCAAAAACACCAGAGAAATAGGAACAGCACATTCGCTTTTCATTTCTCTTGTGTGAAACACAATACGTACAATTTGTGGCAATGAAAAACGTCAGTATTTTGGCAATGAAGCACATTTTTAACACCAGCGGCACCAAAGTTTGTGAGCGGGCCGCGGCCATTGTAACAATCAATCTAGACGTGAGCATGTCGAAAATCTCGTTGGGCTTTTAGCGGCCCTATTTGTCCTTCAGGTAAACCCTGCCACTCACAGAGCCTACAGTCGAAGGCGTGGGAAGTCAAGTAGAAGGTGGAAGGTGAGAGGAGAGCCTGGCAGCTCTTATCAGGCGTGTAACGCAGTGCTGCGTTCCTCCCTGCGCTGGCGATGGCTGTGGGGGCAGTGAGATTATAGAGGTTAGCTGGAGGAACTGAGGGGAGACAGTGGGCACAGGTGTCCCAGCGGACCCCTAAACCACTATCGGGTATTAACATGCCCCATTAGGCCCAACCAACTGCCCACACACACACACACACACACTATGACCATCCTCCCTCCTTTTCACTGCAAAACTCTCTTTTCTGACATCCAAACTAATACGGTGGGGAGCCCACATGATGAATGACCCGGCAAGTGCTGCATTAAAAAGTCATAAAGGGGGGGGATACCTTCAGGGTCCTGGAGTGCCGCTGTTAACAGAAGTGGCACTTTATTTTTTTTTTGCTGACTAATGAATTGAACTAAACAGGTGGTCCAACATCGCACAGGCACCTGAGCAATGCACACCGTCACTCTTGGGCTCTCAAGCACACAAACGCCCAACCGTGAAATGGCCTTTTTCTGAACAACTAGCGAACGTCAATTGGAAACTTGGAAAGTTGATTGACAGCGAGGCGCTCGGGCCAACAGCGGAAGTACAGACGGGGCTTAAACAGAACGTAAATAACTGCTGAAATCCACATGATGTCGTTCGTATGACACTCCCTAGGTTTGTGGTTTGCGTGAGGCTGCTCCACTGTGTCCTGCGTCAGCACTGACTCACTGGTTTCACAGCGCAGAGCTGACATTTTCATTGGCCCGGAGATCACTTATGGGACAGGGTGTTGGCTCCTGTGAGGGCGAGCAAGTGGACAAGCGCCCAGTGAATGCTGATGCATGCGCAGGCCGCTTTCGGTCTCCTGTGGAACATCTGACAGCGACTGTGTCTGTTAAAACACAAGGAGATTTCTTTAAAGAGAGAGGCTCGCGGTGGAAATACGCCACCACAGAAAACAACACCTGCGGATGTACGGGACAGGTTTCCACACCATGACGTTTATTTAGTCTGTGCAGACGTGGGGAAATATTAAACCTCCGTGCTGTTCAATAGCTTGATAATGAAATGGAGACTATATAGCCTCCATTTCATTATCAAGGGTTAATATAGTATGTATATACATACACGCGGTTAGAATTCCTAGGAGCTGTTGGCTTGTTCAGCAATCAAACTAAATAAACAATGTTGAGCCAAAAATATCTCAGCTCAGTGGCGCTCTGCAGTATTGTAAAGCCTTTCTATTGGGTGGAGGGAGTCGAATATCTCAGCAGTGCCCCCCCCCACCCTCTGGACACACACACAAAAATACACAACAACACCATCCATAGCTTTAGCTTTTAGCGAGCGCCCCCCCCACCCCCCACCCCGACGCCTTTGGCTAATTCCCTGTTGAAGCCCGCAGGGCTGACCTGCATCCTCCAATAAATTAGCCTCGCTGCTCCCCCACAGGGAGACAAGTCACTTGCTTGTGCACAAAATCATAATTCTTGCAGCTTTTTATTGCACCCCACTGAGTCGACTGTTGTTGGTGCGTGTGTTACTGCTGTAGGACTGCATGTCCCATTTGTGGATAGTGTCCAGTGTCAATTCCATTTTGATGATGGAAAAGTAGCCCGACTAGGGTGAGGAAAAGGTTGGTAGTAATTCAGAGGGACTCTGGAAACTGTTTCCCATCCGTGTATCTTTCCTCCACAGGTCGCAATTGCTAAAAGGTGGAAAGTGTTATTTGACAGCTGACGTCAAAAGGTTTAAAGAAAGATCATCATAATGCTGCCCTCCGACCTTCTATGGTAAACTCAATTTCCTGTAAAAAATAAAAGAATCCTCTCTCTTCAGCATCTGGGTGTGATGTGTCTCAACATCTGTCAGATATTAATCGGGATTCTGGGTCATGTGCGCCTTGCGTCGCAATTTCCTCCATCGGCATGGCTTTGCTTCCCGTCTGCAGCATCTGCCTCTTTGTCTCAAGTTTGGATCGAGCGCGTGTCCGCATCTGACATCTCCTTACCTCTCTCCTCAGTTCTATTCAGCCTGCTGTCGGTGGGCGCCCAGACTGAGATGAAGAAGGTCGTCGGGGACAATGCCACTTTACCGTGCCACCACCAGTTCCCGTCATCCGGCTCTCTTGACATCGAGTGGCTTCTCCAGAAACCAAACTCCAAACAGAATGTGGTGAGCTGAGATTCCTTTTTCTTCCATGTTAAGGGTTTAAAGACATTCATTGAAATGAGTCTCTTTGAAGTACTGCAAGGTAACACTTTAAAAAAAAAGGTCATGCTTGTTTAACTGTTCATTGCCAACAAGAGCAGCCTAAATTGTGTCCTCTTCAGAAGTAAAAGTGGTTTTATAGGCGGAACATTAGAACATAAGAACATTTGCACTAAAACGCAGACCTCTTCTCCTACTGTATTTTCTCTAGCCTCTCTCTTCTTTCATACATCCTTTGGAGGCACGCTGATTGATTTCCAAGGAGCCATAACAGTTGCACATTAACTCAATGGCCAAAGTTACTGTGGTACTTCAAGTTTTAGTACCTTTCACAAAGGAACAGGTACACCTGGAATGTCCCCCAACTCATTCTGCAGTTGTAACCTTGAACCCTTTTTCTAAAGCATTAAAGATGTAACAATAAAATGACTTGGGAAAGATTTTCAATTAGCCTTTTTTTTTTGTGTTTTTTTTTTTTAAATGTGACTATAATGTTCCCTTACACCTCTAAGAAACAGTCCTAGTTATATTTGTATGTCTTCCCATCGGATGTGTGGCTGTTAGCTCAGTAGAAACCCGAAAAACTGTAATGTTGCAAGCTAACGTTAGGTAGGAACCGCTAACTCAAGCTAAACTTAGCTAACCGCCGGAGCAGCGTTACTGCAGCGTTTGTCCTTTAAACAGCCTCGCCGGTTCTCTGGAGGTTTTGCTGTAACCTAATTCACTAAAACACAAACAACATGAGACTCTTCACAGACTCCCTAAAGCTTCTGCGAAGGCGTTTCGTTGTTTCCGAAATGTCAGCCCATGGAAGAGAGAAGGCCTGCGCTGCATATCCGTCGCTCTGAAGTGCTCCGGTTTTCTTTTTGAGTTATTACAGGCCCGATTTGAGACTTTGAATCGTTCGTTCTGGGCAGCATCTGGTCTGTCGTTTACATTGTTTGCAGAAAATGAAACAAAACAACTTGAATTCCAATTCCTTACTTATTGTCAAATTTTTTATTTTCCTTTGTTTCCGCCTGATACCTCGAAAAAAATATATCTGTTGGTCAGCTGATTCTAGATCTCATCATAATGTCGGTTCAACTATTCCGTCATCAGTAAAGTATCACCTCAATGGAAGCCCTTAACTTTGTCATGCGTCACTTCTCAAGACGATTTGGCTTCAGCTTCAGCGGTTTTGAATGATTGCCTTTCTTCACCCAAATTGAAGGTGTCATCCGAGGATAGACAAGGCGTAAAATCTCGCCATCTTCCCATCGGAAGATAGAGATTCGAAGTCGTCCGTTCATGTGGCGACGTGTCTGTTGGCTCAGATAAATATAAGAGAAAGGAAGAAGAGTGTGCAGCAGGGAAGCGAGCGACTTGGAATGAAAGAAACGGGAAAACAAGTGTCTTTTGCTCTGATGATTCAAAGGGGGGGGGGGGGGGCGCGACTGCCACATTGCGATGAATATTTAACGGTGTGATAACATTGAAGGCGCCATTAATTAAAATCAAACGTCTGAAAATTTGATTAGGAAAGAGGCTACGCCTGAGGCTGAATGAATAAGTTATTCCTTTGTAATGCTGGAGGCTCGTGTTGAGAAGGGAAAGAGCATCTTGTCAACATTTAGCCTCTGTTAGCACATGCACAGGCTACACGTGTTAATGGAGGGGCGAGGGACGTCTCACCAAAGTTTATCCAGCACACTTTCAATAGGCTGTCCCATCAGGACTGACCTACAACTCTATTCACTCACTGGGTATCGCCATAGCAACAGCATTGGCGCAGACCTGGAAAATGTCATGTTCCCAAAGATGTGAAACAATGGAAGTAAGCCGCTTATAGCTGAAACTCTAAAGTTATCATCTTTTTTTGAAAAACATCTGCAGTAGCGCAGTACTGCGTTTTAGAGAATGCTGTTGATTCTCACAATGCAAAACTGCCTGCTGCCCACGTAGTACATAATTTAAAAAAATAGGTCTACTTTATTGGCGTTTATAACGGGACAATTAAGAGTGTTTCAACTGCAAAATTGCAGTATATCCTTTTCTTCTTGATTTATTCTATTATTCAGCTAGAAATGCTGGTACTACTATATACAGGTAGCAACGAGGTACTGTTACACTCTACATATTTCATCTAATCGCTCATATCTGTTTAAAATAAACTTAAGATGGATGAAAACGCTAAATGTCTACATATAGTTAACTTTCATTATTTCCATTTTAAGTAAATAAACGGCCTAATTTGAATTGCAAACCATGCAAACAGCCTGTTGCCATTTTACACCACCACCTCCACCACCTCCTTGTCATAAGAATGTGTTCAGAATACATTTGGACTTATATCTTATTTCTTATCCACATAATATATATATATTATATATGTTTTTAAAAAATATGTCCCACTTTGTGTAGGTGGCAAAGTAATGTATGTCTATTTGCATTTGTACTTTTGCTCAAAATCTACTTTGTGTGTGTAGGTTTGAGCATGTGTGCAGCTGTGTGTGTGTGTGTGTGCGTGTGTGTGTGTGCGTGCGTGTGGCCAATGGCCAGTAGTGACCTGTGATCACAGCAGGTAACCCTGTTTCTGAGGCCGTGATACACTGTGGCACCGGCATTTAGCAGTCCCCATCTGCAGGCTCTCACTCGCCCTGAGTAATAGGCCACTGTGACAGCCGTGTTTGTCTTTGTTTGTGGATTTGAATGGAGAAAGAGAGGCAAAAAGAGCGAAAGAAGGAAAGAGAATCAAGGAGAGTTATGAGGAAAAGAGCCATGCAAACACGTAAATAGGCAGAGGCGGAAAAAATTAAAAAGTTTCAGATCGTTTTTTGAAGACCACGTCTTTGCAAACATCAAAGAACCTGAAGCTAAAAATAAATGTGAAAAGAAAAATGAAATATCCCAAACTGTAACAGACATTTTTTTGTTTCAAAGCTCTGATAAAGATGCACTTCAACGGCTCGTTGTTTTGTTGTGTTTTTTACATTTGATCTATTTTGTACTAGAGAGAATGTGAACATTCCCTGGTAAGCAGATCATACAGAAAATAATATATACATATTGTATATACATATATATGTTACACATTTGTGTATTTACTTAGGTGTGCTGTTTATTGTGAGGAGTGAATGGAGAGAGGCTCCAGGTCATGACCCAGGCCGCTAGCTGACGTGCTAATGTTGGCTAATTTTCTGGATGGAAAAAGCACTTTATGCTGAAATAAAGACTAAAACGATAAGATCCATATCTTACAAGACATGTTATTTTTGTTTTTACTTACCTGGTAACTAATTTAGTGAAAAATACACTACATACTTTGGATTTATAGTATCCTAGCATGTCTTCTTTGGAGGGGGTTTGGAAACATTTGATTAGCGCTCAATCCTTTCATTCCAGCCAGACCGCTAACATCGCATCAGTGCCACTGTGGGCGCTTTAATCTTTTATCTCACTACCGGAATAGATTTTTATTTGGTCAATTTGACAGCTCCGACTCGTAGGAAGAGCACAAAGAGATAACGGCGCTCACAGATAATCAGCTAAATGAACACCGCCAGGATACCAGCTTTCCAGCAAACGCGTTGATTTGTCAAATGTTATTTCCCAAGTGTTGATTACAAAGTGATTGTTAGCAACGTTACCATTGGGTGCTGATATTTTCTCTTTCACTAGGTGGATCCCTTTGAGCTGTAAATACACCATCGTTAGAGTTATGTAATGATAAATGTTGATGCCAGGCCACCAGTCAAATATACCAAGGGTATTACTGTTGGGACATAAACATTTCAGCAAACTAACCAACCGTGTTGTTAATTAATAGGAAAGCCGTATTTAGGGGATTGGTTGCATTAATTCGACGAATACTGACATCAACAACCAGTAAATGCTAGTTTGCTAGCATCGGGAGCTTTGTATTTATTCAGAAAATTCTGTGAATGCACCAAAATGTTTCTCGGATTTTCTTCCCTTTTCCACGTCTGCAGATCATCACCTTCTTTGGGGGTCAGGTGTACACCAATGTGGCGACCAGCAGCGAGGCCAGCCGCCTGTCCTTTGCCGGCGAGTACCTGGGTGGAGACGCCTCCCTGCTGATCAGTGACCTGCTGCTGACCGACTCCGGGGAATACTACTGTAAAGTCAAGACTGGAGGAAAGTACCACTGGAGCCAGGTCAACCTCATCGTGCTGGGTGAGTGTCGTAACAGAGCTCGGGTTATGAGGAGACCCGAACCCATTTGTACACATATTTATTTATTTATGTACAGACGCACACAGAAGACCCAGCCACCGGGTCATTAGCCTGGCACATTTCCTCCGTCATGCCGACCGTCCTAATGATTCAATTAGATTCAGACGGTGTGATTTGATTTGATGCTCGTGCTGTTTGGGTTCCTTTGGATTGGCTCGTTGATGAGGTGAGACCAGAGACATGTCGACGGGCTCTGGAGGAGCGGGATTGATTATGTTTTGAGTTACACAGAAGAGAAGGAAAGATAAATGTGTTATGTGCCGGTGTACGTTCCCTCTATGAGACAAACAGACCCGTCTCTAACTTTGAGGTACTTGCCGGAACTAAATTGAGTGGTTGGAAAAAAAAACACAGTCATCAATGGAACCACTGATGAGCTACAAGCTCTCACAACTGTGGTAAGGCCTGTTTTTGGTCTGTACATTCTAGTCCCTTCTTTAGCTTTTCCTCACACGGATGGATCTAAATGGCCGGACGACTAGCTCGGCGTGAACGCGTTTCTCTCCCTGAGTATCTCAACATCGCCGAAGGACAGACAGCAAAACGGGAGCGGCTGCACCACAGAGTCCGGCGGGAGGAACCACGGCGTTCTCAATGTCGGAAGAGCGGGCGATTTATTAAAACATCATGGGAGATTAGTCCAACCCGCGGTTATTGGTTTTCTAATGGAACATTCTGTTAATCCTCTCGCGCTCGCTCTCATCTCTCTTCCATAAAGACATTTCAGTGAGTTAGTGCCTCGATTTTTACAAATTGCCCTCAGCTTCGCGGTGACACTTTCGATTTTGAGAGAGGGGAACATTTGCATTTTCTCTCCCGCTCCCCCCGCTAAGATAATAGCTTGGCAGCCGAACTGGTAGCTGGCTTGGCATGAGACACTGTGTGTGTGTGTTTGTGTACACACCGGGGTTTATGCGCGCCCCCGGTGGCTGTGTTTGTGCTCACGTGCAAGCCCGCGCGGTAAAGCCTGCAATGCCTGCGCCATTGTTGTTACCGAGCGGGTTCCAGCCAGTGGCGTGTGCAGAAGTTCTGACTTGTGTCGTATCTTTTGTGCGTGGACCAGCGCAGTCGTGTCTGTACGCGCGTGTGTGTGTGTCTGTGACTGCTGCAGCTGCAGTTAGGCCTAAGTGACCCCGACAAAGCTGCGAGACGAGGACGGGGTGGAGATAAAGCGGCTCGGACGGACAAAGGCACATAAGCTATCGGGCTCCGCAGGCGGTTTACCAGTCGCCCTCTTCATTCCAGCGTCGCGGCGTTGCTCACGCTGCGACAGTAAATACACAAAAGTCGACAACTCTAATATGAGCATGACAAAGAACGCAAAATAGATGTTTAAATATAGCTCAGCGCTGATCTAAAAATACCTCACTTCGGGAAGGGGGAAAAGTGCGTGCTGTTTGGCCGCTTTTGCATGTGCCTCTCGGCGTGTTTCTAAACCGAGCAGCTGCACACGGCTCAGCAGGCACCAGCTATACTGTACCGTGCCCCCCGGCTACTGGACTATGACCAAAACCCTTTGACCCGTGGAGAACGCGCTACCGCGGGCCTCTGGCGGCCAGCTCTGGGGTCACATTGATCCATCCCCTACGGGGCGGTTGCTTTTCTGCACAGAGACCCCACATCACACATGTCACACATGACCACTAATAAGGTCCACGTTTAATATTAGTTATACATTTTAACAAACATTTTATCATTGTGTGTTGTTTTCATACGAGGCCATACATTAAGAAATAACCATTCCAAATTAGGAAATGTTTAAATTGTTGCCAGTTTGTTAGTTATTCTTCATTCATTATCAGAATGAACTACATCTGTGATGGTGCTACAAATTGGACTTTATTGTTGTATCTCTTGTTAATTTAATTATTATATATCCACAAATATTGATATTAGTGTGTACATTTAGATAATATTGTCATATTTGTTTTATTTCCAACTGCAAACAAATGAAAAAGTAGACTTGAATGATTTACTTTTCATGCTTGTCTGATCTCTTCGCCCCGTTACATCATTAGAAATGTAACGCGAAACTCAGTCACAAGTGTATGTGCGCCAACGTGACAAAGAAACACACAATGACTTGTTGCACATGCTTTCTGTCACAGTGAAACCCTCCAAGCCGAGGTGCTGGCTGGACGGCAAACTCCAGGAGGGCAGCGACGTCAAGCTGAGCTGCAAGTCCAGCGACGGTTCTGACCCCATCAACTACAAGTGGGAGCGAGTATTGGACAAAGGCAAGAGTCTGGGCAAGCTGCCAAACCTGGCACTGATAGGTAAGGAAAATAATTGGCACTGCTGATGCGCTGATTCATCATTTCGAGCCCTCTGCAGGGAAATGCTACGAAGATTCATGATCATATTAGTGATTTTTATAGGCTGCATCCATCCGAGGAAGTCTTTTGCTGAGCACGCGGCCTTTCCGTCGCTCCCTCCTCCGACTTCGCGTCCGTGCATTCAAACACTGACACCCGTGTCTGTCTCGAGCAACGGAATCCTTCCTGGTGGCTCTCTGAACTCGTTCGCCACATCGTTAGCATTTACAGTTCTTTACTAAAGGGCACTCCAATGGGCTCCGGTTGTCCCAATTAGACGGCTGGGTCTGCCTTTCTTATCTCGACGCCGGTGCCGGTTTCTCCCATCAGTTAAGGACCACGTTGTGCACGAGGCACGTTTTTTTCTTCGGTGAAATCAAACGGAAAACAATCCTGCGATTTCTCGTTGGGATGAGTTGTATGAACACAAGGATCCCAGCTGATACTGACATCTGATGAAGATGTCCGAGCCAGTGAAATGTCAGCCTGGCTCAAGTGGATTACACCTGCATGCAGGAAGTCAGTGGGAACTGAGTGCTTTCTTTGATTGTATGTAAAGTAGAGAAAATCAAAAGTAATACACAGAACCGCTCTGGCAGCTGCCAAAGCAAAACATTGGCTCGGCAGTAGAGCCCTGAGGCGCACGTTACTCACATGGTGTGGATTCTGGCAACCTTCTTGGATCAGAACCAAATACGGTCACCTCTAAATAGCAACAGAGACAGTTAAGTGTTGGAAAAGCTAATGGTAGGCCAACTCTCCCTATTGTGTATTCTCTAAACCGGCGCACACATCCCCGGAGTGCCGCCCCTCTCTCTGTCTCGGTTTTCCCGGCAGTGTTCAATCGGCATCTGTGACGGCACGTGCCCAGACAAAAAACCCTCAAGTTAATGACCTCCGACAAACAACACCTGTTCAGTCTAATTAGTTTTCATTGGACGATAACACACAGCGTCAGCAGCCATTATTCATAGATCCAGTTAAAAGTAAAATCACATTGGGTGGGATGACTAAGTATCCCTCGGTGCTGTTGGGCGCCATGGTTCCCTCAGGCACGCTCCTGGTCCTCTGCTCAAGCCCTTCGAACGTACCTGACGTTGTGGATGAACATGCCGCAATGCTTGAAACGCACACAGCAGACCCAATTGGTTGTTTCTTTTTGGGGATTCCACAGATCTCAAGAACCCGGAGCTTGTGACTCTGAGGAATCTCACCATGGAGAGCACCGGAGTCTACAGGTGCACGGCGAGCAACGACGTGGGGGAGGAGAACTGCACCATCGAGGTCCCCATGCAACGTGAGTTTCGGGAGGCGAGGGAGAGTCGAAGCGGCAGCGTTTACCAAACTGCCGCACTGATTGATGGTTATTGTTTCAAGCTGCGGCTGGAAATGCATTTATTCCCTCCTCACACTATCACCCCCCCCCCGCCCCCCTCTCACCCGCCATGTGCTCTAACACTATAGAGACTGCATTAAACCTAAACTGGTGGCCACTGGGCACCACCTATATGCTCCCAACAGTTATGGTTCACTGTCACACTAACTCCTTTCCTGGGAGGCCCGGGACGGCTGGGGTCAGGTGTGGAGAAAGCGACACATAGGGTAGCTCAGAAGAAACCAGAAACAGTTCGATGGATTTGTGCGCTGTGAATAAATGCAGGAAGTGCTGGGGTGTTTCCGGGGGAACGAGCGTCATAGTGTAAGTATAATATGTGACAGTGACTGTCTCTCCATCGCTCATCACTTGCTTTTCTCCATCCACAGATGTGAGGGATGTGGCCAAGTTCGCGGGTGCAGCGGTGGGAATATCCCTTGGCGTCCTCATTGTCATATTAATCATCTGGCTCGTCTTCCGCAAGAAAGAAAAAAAGAAGTACGAGGAGGAGGAGACTCCAAATGAGATCAGGTTAAAGGATCCTCCCCTTTTCTGTGCCATTTTAAAGTGACTGGTTGTTTGAGTTCAAATGCATTCTGTAAGGTCGGGTTATGAGAGGAGATGCTCCCGCGTGCGTTTCTGTAAGTGTCCATACTTGCCAGCCACATTCTTTGAATACCTACCAAACCTGGTATGAACAAACCTGTGTTAGCTGATGTCTCATGCAAAAGCAACGGATCTCATGCTTTAGCCGGAGACATTTGCAAAAATACAATTATAGGCCTTGACAGCCACCTGGGGCCGGGGGCGATGCACCTGGCTACGTGGGTGCTGCAGCACCTGTACCTCCCAAGTGCCATCTGAAGCCTTGTAGACCATATGATAGCAATACATGAAACGTCAAAGTTAATGCTGGAAGGAAATTAACGTTTTAGCCTGAAGTTTCTCTCCGTTTGTAAGCAGGTCGTCGCCCCAGAATGGACTGAAATAATTCGCATTAAAGTGTGAGAATAAAACATGCTGTTGCATTGGAACCCTTTAGAGGGCAAAACGGGAAATAGGTGATTAATAATTGATACCACAAGTATTAAATGTGACAAGCCCATGCACACTATAAATGCCCATATATGTTGTTTTATGCAAAAGTGCTTTCCGACTGGCTTAAACTCTGCTTAGCAATTGCTTGAAAAGGTAATGAAAATCAATAGATTGGAAAATTAAGTCAAATGTCTTTGGGGAATTATAGAGTAGAACCGAATGTGCCAGCAGACGGGGCCTCTCCAACACCCGCGTCGATTTTGTATTTAGCTGCAGAAATATAGCGCCAATCGCATGTGTGTCTGTGTGTGTGTGTGTGTGTGTGTGTGTGTGCGCGTTATCCCATAAGCCACAGGTCAACTGAAACCACTCGAAACCGCGGCGGCGGTTAGTTAAATGCTAACTGACACAGCAACAACGCCTTTCTGCTTGGATGTGTCTACCTGCCCGTGTGTGTGTGTGTGTGTGTGTGTGTGTGCGTTTGTCTAAAAATAGAAACAACTACAAGGTCAAGTGCTCATGGATTATCTTTTAAGTGGCCTTCTTCGCACACCCCTGTGTGTGGCCTCAGAGGCACGGACGGATCACACTGCTATTCCTTCCCCTCTGTCTCAGCCTGCGTGCAGTGGAGGATGCTGAGGACCACCAATAACAATCACAAAAGCAACAGTATTTTGTTTTCTTTCTGAAAGCCCCGAGTAGGTGAATGTTTACGAATGTAGCGGTACATACTGCTCACTGGTCAAGGCACAGCTTTAGGGGGGGTAGTTGGGATGATGTGACGTCTGAGCCTCTCCTCTAATGTCCAAACGCAGAACACACCAGCATTAATGGCACTCATTTCCTGGCTGTGGCTTTGGACCTTACTTCTTTTTTTTGCTTCCTAGGCTTTTAGAACCATCTGTTGTGTGTCTGAGAGGGTACAGTGTACAATTTAATATCATAATAATGGGATGATATAAGCCAAGCAGCACACACACTCAGGTGACCATGTGATTTATTTCAATACCATCCAACTGACAATCAAAGCACAAATGGATGTATTTCTGGTCTGGACTCATATTAACTGCCAAAGTCTTTTTGTTCTCACGTCATAAAAGTAGAATTATGAAGGGAAGTTTTCATTGTGCTCTCAGCAGAAACTTTATTTTTCAAATATTGTCTCTGTCAAACTGGTGATTTCAGCAGATTTTACTATTTCATGCAAATGTTTTTCACTAAACTCAGCGGCTGGAGGGTACCTCATAAATTACCCAAGATCCCAATATAATACTGGTCCCATGTGCATAGAGTCTGAGAATAGTGATCGATTGTGTGGTTCCTCTGTAGTCCAAATGAATGTAGCTTTGTCGTCATTGTTTGCTCTGTTTGTGTGTGTGTGTGTGTGTGTTTCTAACCACAGGGAGGATGCGGAGGCTCCCAAGGCCAAGCTGGTGAAGCCCAACTCCCTCTCCTCGTCCCGCTCCGGCAGCTCACGCTCCGGTGCCTCCTCCACCCAGTCCATGGTGCACAACAGTGCCCAGCGTGGTCACCGCCCCCGCCCGCCTGCTGTAGCAGCCCTGAAGGAGAATGGACAGCCTCCAGGCTTCCCCCAGTCCCCTCCGGCCTACACTACAGTGGTGCCCAAGACCCCCGAGCCCCCCGCCACTCCCAAATACAACTCCAGGAACACGTCCGGGCCCACACCGCCGACCCTCATGGTCCCCGCCCAGACCAAGGCCTTTCAGACTGTGTAGGACTGAAAAGGCAACCGCTTCCTGCAGCCATGTGAGACTCCCATCCCAAGCCCAAGCCCCCTAGCCCGCCCCCCCTCCCCCCAAAGACTAAGACTCTACCATTAACAAAGAAATGCAACTAGTTAAGAGGATGTAATTAAAAGAATCAATACTATAAGTCCAAAAGTACGTTAAATGAATGCATACTTAAAAAGGGAAAATAAGACATGCTTGCCCCCTTCTGAATTACGTAAAACAACAAAATAAAAAACACGGCCTGAGATGCAAACGCTGTGTTTGTGTCTCATCGCTGAAGGCAGAGCTTTTTTTTTCTTCTGAGTTCCGTGTTTTGGCTTCGGAAGGGAAGCGGCGTGTGCAGCGAGGTGGAAGGAGGAGCCCCCTGCGGTCTTTATATATTAAATCAAAGGGTTAGGCATGCAGCTGAGAAAAGGAGGAGAATAAAATAACCGACACGGTGACAGGAAGTAGATCCAAACTCAAAGACTGTTGAGCTTTTGGTTGTCGACCAGAACACGACGGATACCGAAGAGGGCGGGAAAGGGGGAGGAAAGAGAGCGCGAGTGCGTCAGACAGCTGCTGACTTCTTCTTCTTCTTCTTCTTCTTCTCTCTCCCCCTCTCTCTCTCTCTCCTGGAGGAGGGGAAGGGGACGTGGGGGGTGATTCTCTGATTCATGTCACCCTCCACCTCCGACTCGCCGCCTCCGGCATCTGCTCCGAAAACCCCACGAACCCCTTTTCGCCTCCCACGGGCCGGGCCGACGGCGCCCCCCCCCCCCCTAACCGCGTGGAACGTGAGACGGTGTGTGCGGCGTGTGCATCATCTGCCTCGGTGCTCTCTGTCCTCCGTGCTCTCATAACCGCGGGGCGGTCCGGAGACCGACTCGGCCGGCCCCCCAAAACGGCTCGTCTGCTTTACCAATCAGCTGCGGGCAAACTTCAGGTACACGGATGTAGCGTTGACAGTGGAGCCAATCAGTGGAAGAGACACTCCCCTCCCACATCCTGTCTCCATCTATGGACACCTTTTCTGGAACTGAGTACCTTTCATGAGTATTAAATAGTATGTATTAGGCCTATAGCGTGTCAATACTTTAAATATAGGGGATAAGCATCTATTAGACCAGCTGGACTTGTTTTCTTCTTTTTGTTTGTGTTTTTTTTTCTCTCTGAACAAGTTATAAAGGGTGACAGACAGCTATATGTCCATTCATCCATATTAAGAAGTGCCACCAATCCTTAGGATGGGTCATTAATGTTGCTTTTTCTTTTCTTTTCTTTTTTTACTCTTTTGTTTACCTGCTTCATTTGTGAACTGAAACCAAAATCAATCACCATGAATGTGTGATGTACAAAGATGGTGGATCCCACTCTCTTCAGCTCCCTATAGGTACTCAATCAATATCCGTGCGACGGCACAAAGAATTGACCTCCGCGCTCAATTTTACAATTACTCTGTCTGAATGAAGGGAGCGAGGAGTATGATTCCAGATACTTCAGTTGTACAGGGAGCGTATGGTCTCATTGTCAGTGCTCTGCCCGGATCCATCACAATGGAATGGCACTCGATTGCTGTCTCGCCGGGTCATCGGTACCTGCTTGCTTATTGGTCGGCCGGTGCTGCCAATTCCCCCTTTCGTTGTATCCTCAGACGGACCCGGCGCGCTTTGATTGAAAGTTAAAAAAAAAAAAGAAGAAAAGGGGGCAAGTAGCCTGTATAGTGTGCCTTTGCAATCCCTCTTCTCCTCTGGTTCCTTTATTTGTTCCTTATCTTCAGCGCTGAGGGTCAACAGTAGCAAAAGCTGAGGGGGAACAACTTGACAAAAGTCGCCCTAGAATTAACAGACGCAGAACCGGGGGGCACCGAGCAGTGGCAGAGACCAATGGGGAGAAAGCAATCCCAATGCCATGGGACAGTGCACTGTGCATTCTGTAATCACTCTTGTTTTATATTGTACATACGCATAGAAAAACGCACACAGTGTCATTTAATTGAATAAATACAGCTGTGTGAGGGTGGATACAGTACGTCCCTTACGAACGAGTCAAATGGGAAACCCAGAGGTGGATTTAAACCGTGTGTTTTCTGTACACACGCTGTGCAAACAAGTGAAGCCCCCCCATTCTGATGTGATATGACAGCTGTTTTTTAAAATATTTATGTGGTAAAAATATGAGCTATGTAATTGTAAAGGAAAGGTTTAGGAAAATTAAGCTTAATCAAATCAAGACCGCTTCCATAACCTTTCCTCCTCTGCTGGGTCAAAATGTGGGCATTGACCTTGAATAGTAAATATTAGTAGTTATAGTCAACTAATAACTCATATTTTGGAGAACATCGTCTGGCACAAATTAAACAATTAAAGCTCTGTTACCGTTCCAAAGAAGAGCAAATTGTCAGTACGTCTATCACTTATGATATTAAATATTCTAGCTCGCAATGATATTTTCCCGGCTTGGTAGGGGGCTTTGTTCTTGTTTCACTTTCGAAACCAAGTTTCCACACGGAAGTAAAGACAAAGCATAAAAAAAAAAATCATGTGGTTTGACTTTCACTTTGGGGGGTTTCACGTGCGACTAACTGTAAGGGAAGAAGAGAGAAAATGCCTTTTTATATTCAACCAGAGACAACGGTTCATATATGAGCAGGGAGGCTGCTGTGTGCGTCCGTGTGTGTGTGTGTGTGTGTGTGTGTGCGTGCTCGGGTGCATGCATGCATGTTTGTGTGCGAGTGCGTCTGTGTGGGTGTGTGCATGTAAATTCCGTATAAGCCCTTTGGCCACACCCACACATCCTCATGTTAGCCATTCAATGAGTGAGATGGATCCAGTCAGGCAAAGTAACCTCGATCCAAATTGATGTGACTGCGGACTGACAGTGTTTATTTTAGTATTCACTGACTTCTGCGCCCGTTGAACTCGGCTTCACGGGCAGCAGTCATGTTTTCGCTGGCGGGGTTGGTGTCTCGAGACAAAGCATGTCCATAATTCATAATATTGTCAGCTCTGGAGGGTGGAGGCCACTTGTACGCTCTCTCCTTGCTCTCGCCGTCTCTTAACATAGAATGCACTTGGCCCTGGGTGTACTGATGGCATCTCAAGGCACGCACACACACACAACACAGGTCAGGGTTGTATATACACACACATAAACAGGTACACGTGGCACACTCGGGTCCGCACGGAAACACAGGCGTGTGCTTCGTGCACATTCACAGTTTGCACATGCACGCATGCGCTCACAAATGGACACACACACACACACAGTTTGCACAAACAAAAGCCCAAACGGCAGCCCTTGTTATTTCTGCTCCTTCAGGATCGATTTGATGGATTGAATGTCTGGAGGTATTACGACTGACTGATGGAAGCGGGATGCTGAATGCGGCACAGAAAGGGACATCTTTCTACATCACCCGGGGGACGTGTGCGCCCACACATAAACACACATAAACACACACACATATGTGCATGCAGAACACTCATGCACTCGGGAATACAAACTCTGCTATGCATCTTAACTATCTGCAGAGCATATGCTTAAGGACCTTTTCTTGTCCGGGAGTAGTACTGGGAATCAGGAGAGGTGTGACGGGATCGGTCGGGGTTCTGGGCTGTTGGCTCTTTGCGATTTTAATTCCACTCCAGCACCAGTGAAAGCGGCGGCTGGAGGCAGAGGACGGGATGCGAGTCTTCCAGCGGTTAAATTCCTCCGCGCTTTTTTGATTTGCTCTGCAGCCACGGCTCAAGTCTCAGGTGGCAGATTCCCCAGTTTATGAGCCCTCGCGTGTGCTCATCCCTCCTCGCGTGTGCATCTGGACTGACTTTGCGCTCTTGCCAATAAACTCGTGTTAAGGAGCTTTTGTCAGTCGAGCAGAGAGTGGAGGGGAGAAGTCAGCAGCACATCCAATATCATTCTTTAAAGCAGTAACCATCAGCACTATATATTGTCTTATCAACACTCGGGAGGTGGAGGAAACATGGAATCATGGAATGGAAATCCTACGTTATATGATAGGAGTGTGAATCTCATGTAGCCACTATGTTTTATGTCCTATTAAGCGGTTTTATTTCCAATTTAAGGTATTGAGCAGAGCAAGGTGATGCTCAGACTTTGTGGTTTGGCCTTTTCTGTGAGTACAGGGGAATGTGATGTATTGATACTTTCGGGAGAGGAAATGGAGGAGCTGTAGTCAACCTTCGAGAAGGAAAGCAAAGGTACCTGCATGTCATAGGAGATCGAGCAGACGAATGGGAATGCTTTGCTTTGATGTAACATAACTGTATCCGGCTAATAATAGGAAAAGAAAAAAAGAAGAAAAAAAATGGAAAAAAGAAAAATCTACAATTGTAAATATATTCACAGAAAATTTTATGAAGCTTTATTTTTGTCTTCTTCATTTTGAATTCATCATCCATGTACTTTGCACTTTCTTTGTGAGCTCATCACGGGCCTGTGTGGGATCTGTGTGGTTGGCGGGTTCTTCCGACTACGTTGATTGGATGTCGGGTGGTGGGGGGGGGGGGGACGCGCTCGGCGCGGCGTCACAAAAGGGAAACGTAAGACACTTTTGTTTTCCTTACTCTCATCCGTTTTTCTGCCGTGGCTTCTCTTTGGTTTTATAAAACAGTACAGATTTCTTTGTTGGTTCGTTTGATGAAAACAATCCATGTAAATATCACAAGTAAAAAAATGTATATTTTTACGACTTCTGAGTTATTACTCTTTCATTTGCAAATAAAATATCCAATGACAACTTAACTGGTCTTGCTGCATCGTGATTTGGAGTTCGGACTCTGAACAAGAACAACACGACATTTTTAACACTCACCTGAGTGACAATCATGTAATTCAGATTTTTGGAAAACCTTTGTGTGAGCCGATCTTGTTGTGCATCACATTGATGGGGAGTGTGTGTACATAAAAAAGTAATACCTGCTTCTTAATAATACCTTAAATACCTTAAAATACCTTAAATACTTTAACAATTACTGGATAGATGGCCAAGATATTTCGTAAAGACTTTAAAAATCCTCAGAGGACGAATTCTGGAGTATCTTCTGTGGCCACCTGATCTGTTCTGGTAGTGTCACCTCGGGTCAAATGTTTCACTTCATCCTGAGAATATCTAAATCATCTCAAACAACTGCAGCACCGAGCGGCTGACGCACAGTTGTGAAGGACGTGGCCAACTATTGGATGGATTACCATGAAACAAATGTCATTCATGTCCCCTTGGGGATGAACTCAATTTAATTTGGGTGTCCACTGACTTTTCCATTCTTTCCACGAAAATATCAACATTTGAATGGAATTGAATGAAAATGTCTTGTCCATAATGCTTCTGTTTGGGCATTTGGTTCAAATCAATTCTGCACCTGCGCAAAGATGCTGTAAAAGTTCTGTTAGTCAGTAAAACAATAAATTCATTGCCTGATGTTTTTGTGTAAATGCACCCGGGGAGCGCTTCCATTGGAATGAATGTGGCACCATGCAGTTCCGCTCGTATGGGCCGTTGATGGACGTCCGTTTTTCCGTACAGCAGTATAACTAAGCACCATCACGCCCAGCGGTCTTACAGCGGCTGAGGATGCGACTTACGCTGCTTCCTTGGTGTCTCTCGATCGACATCCCTTCAACACGACACTTGAGCCGGCTGCAGCGAGGTCAGCCATATCCTTTGACCCTTCAGCCACTCATTGACATTCACCTCCTCCCCTCTGAAAAGTTGATGTTGACCATGTATTGAACTGCCAAGATGGATCGTCGGCATCAACCCCCCCGGCTGAAGGGACAGCGTGCGACTTTGTCTCTACGTCAAGGACGCACACAAAAGCGCGACGGCGCCCTTTGACCTTGTCGAGGATTCGCCTGCTTCATTTGCATCCCTTCAAAACGCAGCATCCACATGAGGCGGGGGTCTCGTCTTTTGAGGCCAGATCCCCAATTCGTCCCCTTCTCTGTCCCACGCTTCTGTGCACATTGTTCCACATGATTAGCCATGTGTGATGGCGCTGTCACAAAGCCCTCGTCGCTGGCCGCGCCCACGGACACACAGACGCACCTGTCGGTCACGTGCACGTGGACGTCGCTTGGTAACAGCTCGGACCGTCAAGCAAGTGACTCAGAGTCTTTGAGATAATGTGTTACTCACACAATTTGTTGGGCCTATTTAGGGCACATCTTGTTGCGAGGCATCGAATAGCGCGATGTGTCACAATTGTGGATTAACGCAGACACTTGCTCTCTAATTATCCCCCAACACAAGAGTGATGCAATGTGGCGTCGCGCTGATAAGACGTGTTTCGCTCTGAGCGATCTTCTCGGTCTAATTAATAACAAATGGTATTTTACTCTCGGCCTCCATCTGTAATCGAAATACTTTTGAGATCGGAGATTGCCACACAAGTCCCTGATAAGTGAATCCACTTATATAGTTGCACCCCCTGGTGTTGATTCGTTATCTGCGGCGCTGATGGGACGAGAGGAATCAGAAGTCACACATCGTACATTGTCAGCTAAGATTAGTGCACCAGAAATGTCCTTTTGGACCTTGAGTTTCCAGCCTTCAGCTGTGTTTGTGTCATCGTTTTTATAACCTGAGTTTGTGAGGCCAGGATAATATTTCCTTTTTCTTCAAAAATGATCTCGTCATCAGATCTCACATCCTGGATCCCCAAACCGTGTCCTGATTTCATTGTGAACACGGTCTGTCAAGGAGAAGTTGTCCATTCATGCAGTCACGGTGCACAGTCGTCTAATGGCTCAAATTGCCATTGTCATGGTGTCTGTGCTTGTAGCGCCCTCTGCTGGAGCCTCACATGTGCTCCAAGTGCAGGAAAACAAGTGTGCTGCTGCTCTCTCGGGCTCCTGCTTGAAACACGGTTGAATCCGCACATTTCATTCCTCTCTGAGCTGATCACCGTTAATAAAAGCACAGTATTGTCCGCTCACCACCGATGGCATGAGTTGTCTTCCCCGTTGTCGACCCTCAGCAGCACTGTGGACTTTGTGTGTCGCTGCACTGATTATCTCTGGGTAATGAATACTGTGATGTGACCCACATCTGCAGCATATTCATTCTCTAACAACTACACTAATTATAGAGCTGCATGAATTTAGATAGGGAGGTTAATAGCGCGCTATTTTTCGACACTCGGTCGCCAGCGCTTTTCCACTTTCAAAACTTGAGTTGTCTTTGCAAGTAGACTGAGGAGAAATGATCCATATGTGGAGACTAAATTGTAAACTACCTGATACCGTTCTGCCTGAGAAGCCCAATTATGAATAATGCACCCATGAACCCCCCACTAAATGTGAGCATCCATCCCATGTTCTGACTATCTGACCTTTGTAGCTAACTAACTATGGAGTGTGATGTGTTTCATGACGAGCTGCCGGTTCAGGATAAATCAACTTTTTCGGTGCTGGGAGAAGAAAACGCTGCAGGGTCGCTTCACAGGATACAGATACGACACAGACAAATGTTTCTTGGTATTCAATAATTCATTCTTTGTTAAACACGGACAGCACGATGCATCAATATCAATTCAGTAAACTAGAATCTCAATTCTGAAAGCTATTAGCTCATCTAATTGAAAAATGAGGCAATTAATGACACCGTATCTTTTAATGGAGCAAGCAAGTAAAATTAACTGTGGGCTAAATTAGACAAAGGACCTTCATAATTCTACGTTCTGCAGAGGAGAACCACTCTGCTGAGGATTTCACCTTTAGACAGCTGTGAAAATGATTACTATTATACCAGCAAGCCTATAGGTTAAATAAAAAAAGAAGATAATGATCTTTAAGAGTCTGCATTTAGTTTCTTTATGGATTTACATCACAATAACTATTTGCATATTCATCTGAATTATGTGTCTGAAATGTCTGAAACAGGGTTTACTTAATAATACTTATTATAACTAGGCAACCATTTTTTTTTTCATTTGACTTTGACTTTCATTTTTTTTCAAGTGATCGTATTCAATTAGCGCAACAGTAACAAAAAGGGTGGAGGAAAAGTGACACAAAAAAATGCCCATTAAAGTGAGTGAAATGATTGTCTGACTTCATTGACCCGCCCCCTCTAGGACACCTGCGGGACCCCACGAAAGACTCCACTTCCAACGCGTCACTTCCACACCAGCAGACAGCAGACAGCAGAGCAGAGCGGCGCTCCGATAGCAGGGAGGGGGGGGGGGCCGAGGTAGCTGCAGAGAACACCTGCGACCGGGGACGATGGCCTGTGGGCATCTCGTCCCTCAGCTCAGGCTGGAGGAGGCGGCGGAGGACGGCTCGTTCCGGAGCATCGCCCTCCGGACCCTGCAGCATGGACACCACCGTGGGAAGGCATCTCCTCCCTGCGGCGACAGGAAACCACCCAAGTAAGACTTCTTTACAGCCTGAAGGGGGGCGAGGGGGGGTTCTATGAATTTCACTGTGAGGTTTTTGGTGTAAAGGGAAAAGATGGAGAAATGGAGTAACAAATAACCTGTGAAACACTCGACAGCAAACTGAGGATTTTCATCAGCTGGTGGGAATAAAAAGCATTGTGTGAGTTGTGGAGGAGACTAAAAAAGTTTTCTTAAACTTCTACCAAGTAGATTTTCTCATTACAGCCCAGCAGAACATGTAAGGTAAAACTATATGGTATATAGCCTATATTTGTTTAGTATTACTCCAGAGAGAAACAGCAGTCTGCAGAGACATCATTTTGTTGTCTCTGGCCATTATAGCATTATTTCTCCTTTCCTGTGAGATTGTATCTACCAAACGGCCTCTTTTATTCTATAATAAACGTCAAAATAGTGCAGTATAAATCCGATTTCTGCCGTAGCAATGTGTGTGTTGCTGTTGTTTTTGGATAGCACATCGTGAAAAGGGGCTGGTGGTTTTAAGCAACTTGACCGATGCCAGATGCTGCAGCTGACTGCGATGTGAGACCTCGCTGTGAAGCTGCAGACATCCCGGCCTGTTGCTATGGGACCTTGTGTCACCGTGGACGGTTGGGGTCTAATTGGGGCTTTTGTCTGACATGAAAACTGCCTGCCGGTACTGGTGTACGCTGATTAGGTGTCCGTCTCCCCCTCTGTTGGACAGTCATCCGCCCCTCCAATGTCACAAATCTATTGTTTCCCTCGGTAGAAATGGTGCTCGCCAACCATGCCGGAGCCAGATCACACAGCTCGGTTGGTGGTGTTAGAGCACTGAGGGGCATCCGTTTTTTTTAAGGATGTGTCTCGTAAAGACAGCTTCTGGGCTCGAAAAAAATAAGTTTCCTCTGCCTGGTGATCAGATTAGATCAGTAAAGTGTTGAGATGTGCTGAATCTCTCATGACACACGCTCACCATGGGCCCGACATCTCAAGGGTGCTTTGCAGCCTCTGGAGCTGCTCCCGTGTTGTTGATTTATTCACATATTAGGAATCATGTTTTTTTTTTTTAAACTTCAACGATTGCCGCAAGCCGTGAAATAACAGTCGGGGCTGCTTGTTTAAATAATGTCTTCCCACCGGCGATTTTGGGGCATTCTGGGGCCAATTTGACGTTGCAAATTGCTCGTTCCTGCTCCTCTTTGCAGAGAAAGAATGGGCGATCAATTGCCTGTGAAATGAGGAGCCGATGGGCAGCTCCACTTAATCGTTTGTGCGGTTGTCACTTGTCAGGTGTCAAAGCTCGTCTCATGTGAGAGTAAATTTAGGTTCCACATGCCGGCCTCCCTCCGGCGACCTCTGCTGCAGCGTGGAGCACTTTGAAAA